TGTTGTGTGTGAGTGTGTTGTGTGTGTGTGTGTGAGTGTGTGTGTGGTGTTGTGTGTGTTGTGTGTGTGTGTGTGAGTGTGTTTGTGTGTGTGTGTGTGGTGTGTGTGTGGAGTGTGTTGTGTGTGTGTGTGTGTGTGTGTGTGTGTGAGTGTGTTGTGTGTGTTGTGTGACCTCCAACACCAGCCTCTCGCCCTGTGTGTCAACTGTGGTGGTCGGTGTTGCCAACTAGCGGGTTTGTGTTATTATCTTCCCGTTCTTCCAGTAATCAACAGTATTATTATTGTTAAAATGTCTGTCTGTCCGTCTACCGTTATCTGTCTCTTTACGTCACCTCCTTATTTGTTTTGTTCTTTTAGTTGTTATGAGTACTGTCTGTCTGTCCGTCTCACACACACCACACACACACACACAAAGTACAGGAAATAATTTATTCTTCAAATTTTATTCCCATAGGTATTGTGAGAGAGAGAGAGAGAGAGAGAGAGAGAGAGAGAGAGAGAGAGAGAGAGAGAGAGAGAGAGAGAGACCACCAGTACAGTATAAACGTTTAACGGTGAGGGAGGGAGGGAGGGGTACTAAGTGGGCCTAGTGAGGAGGGGGGTAGGTGAGAGGAGGGAGGAGGAAGGGTGTAGGTGAGGGTGAGGAAGGGTGTAGAGGCTCCTGTCTGTTTTAAAAGTATCGTGTGTGTGTGTGTGTGTGTGTGTGTGTGTACGCAAGTTCCTGTATGTTTGCTGGTACAGTGATTTGAACTCGGAACATACGTGCTTACTCATACATACATACACACTCACGCTCTTAGTTTTAATTACCGCATCTTTAATAAAAATAATAATAATAATAATAATAATAATAATAATTAACCGCTAAGTCATAATATTCTGCCATTACTTCCTCATATTATACAACTTTCACTCGGTTTATTACACAACACAGACACACACACACGGAAGGAGAACAGGAGAAGTGACAGACAGACAAGATTACCCATTCCTTAATATTTTCCCACGATTAAGAATCAGACCGAACTGACGAATCTGAGACTGAATTTCCTGCTTGAGGTGACCATCAGAGTACCCAGCTAGCCATTACCATATTGGCTCGTATCACCTCCTCCTCCTCCTCCTCTCTCTTAATGGCACTTCTTGTTATTCTTATTTTCTTTTACTTCCTCACTTCTTCCTGTCTTTTGCTCTCCCTTTTGTATCGTGTTTTATGTCTATTCATCTTTTTAGGTCCAATTCTTATCCGTCCACCATTATTGTATCAGTTACCCGTTTTCTGTCAATAATAACAAGCTTAACATTCCTCACATTCTTCTTCTTTCTTCTCCTCCTCCTCCTCTCTTCTCCTCTCTCATTCCAGTTTCGTATTTCAAGTGTATTTCTCTTTCCCCAGTTTGTCCAATCATTGTATCACTCTCCTTCTCATCTCTTCTTCTATCGTCTCTCCTTATCTCCCATCTTCGTCGGCTTGTAAATGGATTGTGAAGGAATTTTTTTTTAAAGTCTTGTTGATGGAGGGTCAGTAATTTGAGACGCTGCTCTGTGATTCCTTGAAGGGTTTTTTTTTTAGTCCATTTCCCGCGTTTTTTTGTTGTTTATTTTTTAGGCCGGTGATGTAACAATGAAAGGAAAGATAACGAACTTTACAAACAGGTGTGTGTGTGAGAGTGTGTGTGTGTGTGAGTGTGTGTGTGTGTGCCATTGTACTTCAGGTAACGTAAGTTTATTCTACTCAGCTAAGGCCTAAAACTACCTCTTGGAGAAGTCCCTGAAGTGGGTAATAGGAGACGAAAGGGAAGGAGGGAGAGAGAGAGAGAGAGAGAGAAAGAAAGAAGTTAGATAATGGACCGGATAGTACAACGTCCGGGTAGGTGAATGAATGAATGAAGGAAGGTATGAATGAATGAATGAACACCCAGTAACGACGATATCTCATATTTTAAGAACGATCATTTTAGTCTTTAGAAAATTTATTAGACGGGGACAGCGACCATGTCAGGCCATAGGAAATGATTGAATGGAGGGAGACGGTTAGTAATGAGGCGTTGATTTTAATAGCGAGCGTGTTATTGTTGAGCAAATTAGTAGACCAGCGCCTCAAATTCAATAGCAATTATAATCTTGAGAATATTGGAACTCATCCTCGAATTCATTAACGATTATTTCAGAGTTTAAAAAATATATAATGTATCGAGTTCAGATTTAATCACAAGTCTTTTGATAAATAAATAATGAAATAAGAAATACAAACTAAAACTCTGCCGTGTTTGACATGGGCCAGCCTATCCAGCACCCTTGTGGGGAATGGCTGACTAAGGTATGAGAGAAAGTTGTTATATATAGACAAAAAAAAATATATGAAAAACAAAATACTGTAAAAGGTGTAATAATTTGAAATACTGTAGAATGATTATTAAACAAGTGACCCCAGACGTTGACCTTTTATAATAAGGTCACTGTGGTATGATTGTGATCTAGATAATATAAGACACATGGTAATGAAGGTCTTGGTGTTTATAATGTATAAGTGTCTAAAATTCAAATGGAATCTTTACAAAACCAAATACTATCAGTACTTGGTGATCAATGAAACACTAACTAACACAGGGTTTTTTGTATTTATTGCTGTAAGTCTGAGCAATAAACAGACAAGCCACAACAGAGACAGACAGCGTAAGGGAGGAGGCGTTTTATTACAAGTTTGAACGGGACCCACAAGTTGTCTAACGGAGTGAGACATTACGTTCACCTCCCTACCTCTCCACCCCTCCCCATCCAACCTCACCCTCCACCTCCTTCTCCTACCCCCCACCCCTCTCCCCACCCCTCTCCTCCCCACCTCCCGACCACACCCCTCTCCTCCCCACCTCCCGACCACACCCCTCTCCTCCCCACCTCCCGACCACATTCATGCCAATAATATAAGAACCTTAACCACCCAACCTACCAGCCTTCCGCAACCTGCCGGCCTTCCCCAACCTTCCCCAGGACCACCAACCACCGCAGGACTAATGAGCCGACGCCAACAAGAGGTTCCTGTCCTGGTCTGAGATAATTTATGTTTCCGCCCTCCCCGACCGCCATCTTTTTGGGGTTTTTGGCGGGAACGACTTGCCGCGTAAATTAATGTGATATTTATTAAGTAAGATTCTAAGTGATTGTTTTTTTTTTGTTTTTTTTTACATTTTTTTTAATATTTTATTGATTCGCGTATTTTTGGTGTCCAGAATTTATTATTGTATTTTCTACGGTATTATTATTATTATTATTATTATTATTATTATTATTATTATTATTATTATTATTATTATTTATTATTGTTATCGTTACAGTATTATATTTCAGCTGACGTCATTAACTAGTAACTCAATCTACGGAGTCAAGACCAACCACTGTTACTGTAGAAAACATAAAGTAGTTTAGGACCTAATCACCCAATTAGAGAACCAACCAATCAGAGAGGATTTTAATGAGTTTAACCCCATAACCCGGCAGTGATTGGCGGGGAGGTGGACGTCGGAGTCTTATTGTTGGTGTGTGTGTGTGTGTGTGTGTGTGTGTGTTTGTGTGTGTGTGGACGGAGAGTTTTTGGCGCCACTTTTTACACCGTGGGCGAACGTGTTTTTAAATCCGGATTCTGAGATGGTCGCATGTGGATCCCTTACAAAAACTGGTCATGTGGGAACGTATCTAACTCACTCACTTGAGCTACGACACAAAGATCGATTCTCAAAGGTAATGATGTGAGAACTTACCTAATTCCCCACAGTTGCTACCCAAAGATTCCTTAGAAAGACTTAGGTTAATTGTTGTACCAGGATGCGAGGGTGGGTGCCATGCCTCGCGCTATGGAGAGATTGTGCCTTATATAGATAGATAGATAATACCTTCTCTTAACACTCGTCTGTCGGGAATGTGAGGGTGTGTTGGAGACTAAACCTGCCTACCTGTCTACCTGTCTACCTGCCTACCTGTCTGAGTCTGGTTAATGTCACCATCATTACCACCATCACTAACACTATCACCACCATCACCACAATATCGTCATCACTCTTTCTTCTCCATCTATCTCCAACCTTCCTTATTTCCTCCATCTATTTAATCTCTCCCTGTGTGTGTGTGTGTGTGTGTGTGTGTGTGTGTGTTATGGCAGTGTGAAAGTATGGAAATGAAGGTGTTGTGTGTGTATGGTAATGTGTGAGTGTATGTATGTATGTGCCTGTGTGTGTATGCAAATATGACCTGTGTATGTATAGGCCTTCTCAGTCTACCATGGGCCTATAGTGATGGTGTAGGTCAGAGAGAGAGAGAGAGAGAGAGAGAGAGAGGCGCCCACTTACTGAAAGGCGGGTGAAAGGTATATAGACATCCGCCTGTGTGTGTGCGTGTGCGTGTGGGAAGCAGAGGTAGGGAGGGTTGAGGGGGTAGAGAAGTGAGAGGTGTTTGGGATTAGGTTAGATAGAGATAGCTGTTCCTTTCACGTGTGTGTGTGGTTAATATCTCTCTCTCTCTCTCTCTCTCTCTCTCTCTCTCTCTCTCTCTCTCTAATAATAATAATAAACTTGCACACATCACAGACTCGTATAATAGTCTTTGTACAGGTGTTAGACAGGTGTTAGACAGGTATTAGACAGGTTCACCGTTACCTGTATCTCAACCTGTCTTGTTTATCTTCCAGGTTTCTTGAGTGATGCTAGGAGTGAGCTGAGAACGTCTGGCCCTGTGAGCTGAGAAGTCCAGAGTACTATTGAGTCCAGGAAGCTGTGAGTTGAGTCTAGGACACTGTGAGCTGAGGAGGCCACAGACTCGTCAACATGAAGACTCCTTGAACCATCTCTCACCCTCCCTCACCCCCTACCCCTCCCTCTCCCCCTACCTCTCCCTCACCCTCCACCCCTCCCTCACCCTCTACCCCTCCCTCACCCCCTGCCCCTCCCTCACCCTCTACCCCCTCCCTACCCTCCCTCATCCTCTACCCTCCTCCACCCTCCCTCACCCCCTCACCCTCCCTCACCCTTCACACACACACACCTCTACTCTTACGCCATTTTTACCCGGACGTCCTTGATCCTCCCCTTGCACCTCCTCCTCCAACCTCCTCCTCCAACCTTCATTACCTCACACTTGATCCCCCACTCGACTTCGTGCTTGACCTCTCACTCCACCTCACACTCGATCTGGGGACCTCTGACGCCATGTCCGTTATCTGCCAAACGTTCGTACAGAATACTTGGAGGAAAGACTTATGTTCTAACTGTTTCAAGTCCAAGGAGGAGCATGGAGTAGGAGTAAGAGACACAGAGAGTAAAGATGGAAAACTATTAGGTGGAGGAGGAGGTGTGAGTTTATCCTTGAGGAGCAGGACGGGGGTGGAAGGTTTGAGTGGAGGAGGTGGTTCGAGGAGGTACATAGGGGTGGCTGGCGGCGTGTATCAGCGGGGTTACTACAATAACTCGTGGAAATCTATCATGATCGATCAGACAGATACCAACACTGACACCACTAATCTCAAGTCTCCTGGGCTCATTAAAGGCATGTCGAGCTTAGTGAGCCAAGAGAACGAGAAGAATCTGTTGTTGAGTGATATGGTCGACTCAGAGGACAGTACCGATACCCTGAGGAGCTCCAGGTTACTCCGGCAGGTGAAGACGACGCAGAGTGAGGCGAGACTCCTGTCGGAACTGTTGGAGAGTAAGAGTGACAGAGAAGAGAAGGTGGAGAGTGATAAAGAGGAGGTGAAGTGTAGAGAGGATAAGGGAGACGTAAGTAGCGATCTGGGGTCTGAGGCGAGTCATGATGGCAGTACCGCTTCGTCTGCTACTTCGTCAGCGTGTTCCTATGAGGTGTCTTGCTCGGCGGCCAATAGTGACACCGCTTCCCTAAAGAGTGAGGCAGGGAGTGACCAATCAGCTGAGGAGAAGGGAGAGGACAGCGTGGTCAGGGAGAACAATCACCTTACACTTGAGAGGAAAGAGTTCGTCCCCCCTGTCAGTATCGTCAAGACCCCAGGCCAGTTTAGGAGTAAGCGAGGCTCCATAAGCTTTAACCCACAGCTTGAGGAAGTTATCGGCTATGGTGGTGACGTAGATTATTCCGACGGTGAAGACGACTTTGACGATGATGACGACGAGGATTACGACGACCTGACTGAGTTGACCCCAGACGAGCGGGTGTTAAGGCAACTGACGGACAAGAACACCGACTTCAACTCCGACAACGACAACCTGAAGAAGGACATTGAGGAACTACTTCCCTCCGTCAAGGAACTGGAGGAGAAGAGGAAGATGATCATAGCGGAGATAGAAGAACTGGAGAGACTAGGGAGAGAAAATAGAATGAAGAACGAGAGAGACAAACAGGAAGAGAAGAAAGAAGACAAACATGAAGAGAAGAAAGAAGACAAACAAGAAGGTAAAGTAAAGTTAAAACGTTCATCTCCCCTCGTGTCGACCAAGCCGCTGATCGCCCGCAACAACAACGAACTGAGGGTAAACCAGGTCCTGCCCATGAAGAACGGGGAGGTGGTGAGGACTGGGCTCACGGGGGACGCCGAGGAGATCCCCCTCAAGGGCATCAAGCCAAAGTACGTCGCCAGGGAGGAGGAGATGATAGAGAAGACCAGTTCCCCGCACCAGCAACTCAAGTCCAGCGCCGAGAAGATCACCTCCATTGATGACATATATCACTCAGGGGACGCCAAGAAGGTCAGGGTCACGTCCATAGATGATGTCTGTGTGTCGGGCGTGGACGAGACAGTCAAATCCGCCGAGTGTAGTCCTGTCACCCAGTCAAAGGTCACGAAGATTACTGATGTGGTGCCTCAGGTAGCCAAACAAACTGTTAACTCAGCTGTTACGTCAAAATCGAGTCTTCCTTCACCAGGTGTGGCAGCGACAGGTGGGGTTCTCTCAGCCCAGAAGGTAAACCAAACTCAGAATGGTGTTGTGAGTGAGAGGCTGAACAACACCGTCAAGTCTTCAGGAGAAAGTGGAACAAAGGTCAACAGTGATGCAAAAGACCCGCCTAAAAAAGTCCCCCCTGTGTCAGCCCCCAGGAAGTCTCTCATGAATCAGTCACAAACAGCAGGGGACCCAACCTACCACCAGGCCAACACCACCACCACACAACACCGCAAGACCTCCCCAAAATCAAGTCCTCCTGAGCCTCGGGTTACCCCAAGTCCCACAACAAGTAGCAATTCTCCCTCACCTACGGAACGTCACACAAATGGAGCAGCAGCACAGCCTGAAACGTCGCCAGGAACTAAAGTAACACCAGAGAGCAGAAATTCACTCAAGTCAACTTTAGTGCAGCAGACACTTAATGCAGCCGTGAAGTCCGTCTTAGAGAAGAAGCTTAAAGATAATAATGGTAAGTCTGACAGCCAAGAGGACATTATCAAGGCTCAGTCACGGCCCAGTCCTCTAGATGTTGATAAGTCACGTGTTGGAGGTACCTCTTATACCTCAACCTCCACCAACCACCCTCCAACCTCCACCAATCACCACTCTACAGCCTCCACCAACCACCCTCCAACCTCCACCAATCACCACTCTACAGCCTCCACTAACCACCCTCCAACCTCCACCAATCATCACTCTACAGCCTCCACCAACCACCCTCCAACCTCCACCAATCACCACTCTACAGCCTCCACCAACCACCCTCCAACCTCCACCAATCACCACTCTACAGCCTCCACCAGCCACCCTCCAACCTCCACCAATCACCACTCTACAGCCTCCACTAACCACCCTCCAACCTCCACCAATCACCACTCACAGCCTCCACCAACCACCCTCCAACCTCCACCAATCACCACTCTACAGCCTCCACCAACCACCCTCCAACCTCCACAATCACCACTCTACAGCCTCCACCAACCACCCTCAACCTCCACCAATCACCACTCTACAGCCTCCACCAACCACCCTCCAACCTCAGCCTCCACTAACCACCTCCACAGCCTCCACCATCCAGCCTCCACCAATCACCACTCTACAGCCTCCACTAACCACCCCAACCTCCACCAATCACAGCCACTAACCACCCTCCAACTCCACCAATCACCCACTCTACAGCCTCCACCCAACCACCAATCTCCAGCCCACCAACCACCCTCCAACCTCCACCAATCACCACTCTACAGCCTCCACTAACCACCCTCTAACCTCCACCAATCACCACTCTACAGCCTCCACCAACCACCCTCCAACCTCCGCCCATCTCCCTGACACACCCAATACCCCGCCCACCCAGACACCTTCAGTAGCCAGCAGAACTCCGACAGATCAAAATACCCCCGAGGGTTGTGTTAATCCTCACCGTCAGGCAGCAGGCGCCCCCAAGACCTCAGGTAGTCAGGGCACGTCAGAGTCTCCCACAACTTCGTCAAAAATTCACAAAAACCAATCTAATCAAAATCCTTCAGAGGCCTCAAGAAGTTTACCTGACCAGAGTGTTGAGGAAGTTGTCAGTAGAGCTCCGAGTCAGAGTCAGTCAGAGCATCCGAAGACTCAATCTGACTCACCGAGGACTACAGTTAGTCACAACCACGTGACGGCTTCAAGAACCTCATCTAACCAGAGTGTTCCAGAGACGCCAAGGACTCCGTGTAGTGAGTCAGGGAACGGCAAGACCCCCGCCAGCCGCCAGGGGAGCACCTCCAGCCTCATGACCACCTTCGGCACCCCTGTAGTGTTCACCTCCACCACCCCACAGAGCTCCTTCCTCCACTCCTCACCCCGCAACATGTATGATGACACCTACAGCTCCCCCTCCACCATGCACACCCCGGAGACGACAGACTTCCTGAAGGAGATCAAATCACAGCCGGAGGTGCCAGCGCCGACGGCAGGGATCCAAAAGTCTGCTCTCTATGCCTCGACGTCTTGCCTCAAGGGCCTCCCCGGGGCTAAGCCAGTCATCACACCCAAACCTCCTAAGTTAAAGGATAAACCGAAGGTCCCGTTCAAGCCTTCGGGCAGCAGCCCCAGGATATACGCCACTCCGTCACCTGTCACCCCCAAGGTGTCCATCGGCAGCCTCTCGGGGGCCATCTCAACACCTAACCTTGTCACACTGAGTACAGACGACAGGAGCGACACAGTCTCTACCGCGTCGGGAACCTCAGAGGCGTCCTCCTCACAATCACACCCAGATGGTAGGCCAGAGGTGCTGTACAGAGTGACGCCTGAACACAAGAAGCCGCCACCCACCATCCAGGCGCCCGCTATACCCTCTCCCAGTGGACGCCAGCAGGTGGAAGCTGTCTACGACATCCCCGTCACCCTCGCCTCCAGGGTGTCGTCCACGCCAGACACCACGCAGGAGGAGCTGAAGAAGGACGACGACGCCACGATTTACCACGAGATTGACGACAGCATCAGCGTCCCTGAGGTGAGTCAAGGGTCGCCGACCACCTCATCAGGGTCGCCCTCTGAGTCTATCTACTCCCCGTCTTCAGCCCCCCGTCAGGAGTCCACCAGATGCCAGTCGAGGTCCACCTTCGAGGCCAACCGTTCCTTGCTTTCTGCCGCCCTCGACTTCGGTACCAAAGCCACAAGGTCGAGTGCTAGTAAGCGTCTTGCTCCTCGACCTCCGGCGGAAGAGGGCGAGGAAGACTGTAAGACGGAGGAGCCGCCTGAGGGAGCCACGCCGGTGGTGACTCAGTCCTCACTGCCCTCGGAAACATCTCCACCACAGGACTCTCTTGAAGGAGTCGACCAAGACACTACTGTGGCCGCCCCGACACCTGCTGACAACAAAGATGGTGAGTCCTACTCCTCCTTCACCGACGACTTTGATGACGACGACGAGGAAGAGGAAGCCCAGCCGACCTTGAGGAAGGCTGAGAGGTCGTCGTCAGCCATCCCCTTCTACAGGAACTCCATCGGGCCCATCGTGACCCATGATACTAAAGGTGAGCCTCTCCTCCTGACGGTGTGTGTGTGTGTGTGTGTGTGTGATAATAATAATTAACGGCTTATTGAAGGAGCATGGCAGGCAGAAGGCTGAAAATATACAGTTACATAATTGGGGAATGGGTCACTTGATTGACCAATAATATACAAGTAACATAAGTGATACAAATATAATATATAATAACTAGGTGGGGAGAAGCTCAAACTACAGGGCATTTCAACATAGTGACAGTGCAAGGAGTAAGATTGACGGAGTGAATACATTTGTTGATTACAAGTTATTGATAATTTTTACAGTGGTTGGGACTGTGTGTGTGTGCACCACCTGAGACCCAGTAACGACACAGCTCCTTCTCCCCATGCAGGTATCTACGACAGTCCCACCTCCTTAGGTATAGTGACCACAAGCCCGAGGGGTAGTGAGGTGTACCAAGTTCCCAGCCTGGTGCCCTCGGGGTGTCCTGGGGGCGCCTACACCAAGCCCCAGGCCTCTCGCTCTCACTCCGTCCCCCGGGCCAGTGACCACATAGTTAACATCGACCACACCTTGTCGGGAGCGGGGATACCTGCCTCTTCCTCCTCCTCCTCCAAGTTTAGCTTCGGCAGATCAGGTGAGTCGAGGAGGAGCGTGTGTGTGTTTAAGGGAGTACTCTGTCTGTCTCTCTCTCTCTCACACACACACCCTCTCACCCTCCCTCTCCTCTCCCTCAGGTTTCTTCCGTCCGTCCTCGCCTCCTACGGTTAAGCGAGACTCGAGCAGCTCAGATCGAGGGCGAGACCGCAGCAACAAGAAGACGTCGTCCTCGAGGTTCTCACTCAAGAAGCTGCTGCGGCTGGGTAGCGGGAAGGACGAGGAGAAGAAGAGTCACAAGGAACAAGAGAAACGCCTTCACAGGGAGAACAAGAAAGGCAGACTCACTATTATACATCCTCTTGACTACAACCAGAACGGTGTTGAGGTGGGTGTTGTGTGTGCTGTAGTGGTGTTGTAGTGGAGGTGTTATAGTGGTGTGTTGTATCTGTGTATTAAGGTATGTTGTGTATAAGACGTACTGTAGTATATGTACAGTATGTGTGTTAACCCGAAACAAACAATCTTTACACACCTCTCAGTCTCATTTATCATGTTTTTAAGTTTTCATTATTTGGACAAGTCTAAAAACAAACACAAAAAAAACAGAACTACTTTATCTTTCACTGTCTCCATAACACCAGTCAGTAATTTGTGTGTCTTTCCTCTCGTGTGTTCGCCAGGTGATCGCCAGGCCAGAGAAGACATCGCCCATCTACGACTACACGGGGATTTACGGTTATATCCCGCCACCGCAGCTGAGTGCCAAGCTGGAGGACGCTTATGCCTCCATCACACAGGTAAGTGAGAGAGAGGGGGGGGGGGAAGAGAGAGAATGAGGAAGATAGAGAGATGAGAAAGAGAGAGATAGACAGGAGGGATGAGAGGGGGGAAGAAAGAGAGAAGGGGGAACTAGAGAGAGGGGGAGAAAGATGATGATGATGAAGCTAACATGTGGGGGGTTCTGCTGCAGGCGTCGGCGGTGCAGGCCTCCCCCGCGCCCTCCCTGGCTAGCAAGAGATCAGAGAGTTCCGCTGAGGCCTCCCACGGGTCGTCTTGGGGACATCCACACCCTACAACATCATCGTCAATAGGTGGAGCTGCAGGAACCACCATACCAGCTACTGCAGGGGTCGTATCATCCCTCCCACCAGCCACCACCATCACCACCACCTCCCTCACCACAATAAACACCGCGTCATTCACCACCACGCCCTCTAACGTCACATCCGTCACCACATCAACCTGTGTACCCATCTATGCTACCAGTCCTATGGCGACGGTGATGACCACAGCCTCCCCACCACCCACCACTACTGCCCTGGAGAAGCGTAGTTCGTTCCTAAGGAGAGTAAGTATTAGTGAATATTATCTATATATATATTGACCTAACCTAACAACCCCTCTGATATATCTTTTTCGTGGGACCTAAAATACTTGTGTTATGTACCTCAGTGAGAGTTAGTGTTCAGGAGTGTATGTTCATGCTGAAATGTATACCTGCATTGTTTATATACAGTACAAGCTTATCCAATTATAAACCTGCATGATAATTTTACTGATTATTATTATTATTACTATTATTATTATTTTTATTATTATTATTATTATTATTACAGGAAGCAGCTATTGAAAGAAGAGAATCAGGCTCTAGTTATACCAGCGCTAATATCACCACCACCACCTCACATAACCTGGGCTTCAACTCAGAGGGTAAGTGTTCTATCAGTAATGTCAGTTATCAGTGTTGTAGATTATACTGACCCTCTTATTATTATACTGACACCCTTGTATTTCAGTGTTTCATGTTTTAAATCGTAAGTAGTTGTTTTTTTATTGTTATTTATCTCAGTGCCTAATATGGCGTCTTTACCTGCTTAAACTTACCTCACCTTACCCCTTCCAGGTAGCTTTAGGGTGTATAATCAGATGAAATAAACGGGGAGGGGGCTAATTTCCAGGTGATCCCGGATTAGACTGTACACCATAGAGAGAGAGAAAGTTACTGTGTACAGGTCAGGTGTGTGTGTGTGTGTGTGTGTGTGTGTGTGTGTGTATCGTACAGGTGTGTAGGTGTTGCAGGAATGCTACACCCTGTTACCTGGTAGAGCCAACGCCCCTCCCCTCCCCTCCCCACCCATCCCTCCATCACCCTCACCACTCCTTCACCCTCACCCCTCCTTCACCCTCACCACTCACCTCCCTTCACCACTCACCTCCCTTCACCCTCACCACTCCCTTCACCCTCACCACTCACCTCCCTTCACCTCTCACCTTCATTCAACGCCTTTGTGCAATTTTTTTTTGTTATGGAGAGAGAATATATCACTATTATCAAGATGAACTACATTGTACAGTGTTACATTATGGAGAGAGAGAGAGAGAGAGAGAGAGAGAGAGAGAGCACTATTACCAGGATGAACTTGAGTATCAACAGAATATATTGTTACAGTAGAGTCTCTGGGTCACACAGCACTGCCGCTCACTGAGTCTTCATACATCATTTACCCCCGAGAGAAGCATTATGGAAGCTGCATACCTTAAATCCTAATAAGTTGTTGTTCTTATTGGCCCCAACTTAATCTAACCACACCTAATCTAACAGTCTAACCAAACCAAATTTAATCTAACCAAACTGTTGTTGAATTAAGACTTAAGAGAACTTGCTGTACTTAGGTTTGGTTAGGGCATATTAGGACCAGGAGTCTTACTTGTAGTGGGTAAGACATCGGCCGCAGCCTTGCCGACGCCGTAACTCTCATCGTTCACTCCTGTAGGTCGCCCCAAGCCGCCGCCACCACCCAGAAAGGTGTCCCTGGAGACCGGCCAAACCTATGACATTTATTCCTCTCTCGCCGACCTCCACACGCCCTCACGCCCACACCACCACAACTCTCCCACGCCCACCACCGACACGCCCTCGCGGCCCCAGCGTCCGCCCCCGCCCACACGCACGCCCAGTAATGCAGGCACCAAGTCAGGTCCGCCCAGACCTGAGCCACCCAGGCTGGGCAGGGATTCTGTCTATGCTAATTTGGGTGAGTGAATCTTGTTTTGTTGTTGTTTGTGCAGGAGTGTGTTTGTTGGTGGGTTTCAGGGGAGTGTGTTTGTTTGCAAAGGAGTGTATGTGTGATTGAAGGAGTGTATGTGTGTTTGTACAGGTGTGTGTGTGTGTGTGTGTGTGTGTGTGTGTGTGTGTAGTGTAGTGTGTGAGTGGTAATGTTTGTATGAATGACCACCCCCAACTTGTAACCTAGCATGACACTTCCTTATGCCACAGGTGACGTCCGCGCCCCCATCACTCCCCGCAAGCCAGGGAGGACAGCCAGCATCCGAGGAGAGGACGACAGGGAAAAGAGACGAGCACCACAGCCCCCTCAGTCCTTCCAGGTGAGCTCGGGTCGTCTTGCTCCCTCATGTTACCCAAAGATTCAGGATATTGTTACTGGGATCTGTGATTTACCTGTCATCTCTTAGGAGGACAGATATAATGCAAGACCTTCCCCTTAGTCCGCCTACACCTCCTTACCCTAGTTTCAGCTCTTTATCTCAAAACTGTGTAAATGCATAAGGAACACACACACACACACACACAGTACAGTACATTGAGTCTAACTAAAATCCAATATAACCTGAAAATTCGCCCTCTAGCTAATTTTACCTAATAATTAAACACCCTAATACTTTATTGGCTATGTGATTAAGTTAGGTTAGGTTAGGGTTGTTAATTTGAAGGTGAAATAATCTAGGGGTTAAATCTTCAGGTGATCTATTTATTAGAATGTTTAATCAAATTCTCACCTATTTTCTGTGACCCTCAATGATATATATATACAGCCTCAGGTACCAACAATGTGAATACTGCTGTAGAGAGATAAAGGGCTGGGAACTGTTTTAATTAGCACCCAAGAGCTGAGAGCCACAGTGTTGGATACATGACACAGGTACAACATAGAACTACAGTAGTACAATACTCTCTCCCAATGCCAGACTAATTCTTGTAAGTCCTGTCCATTATTAGGAGTATTCTGTTATTGAGAAGGTTTACTGTATTCATTCCTGTATTGGGAGGGTTTACTGCATTCATTCCTGTATTGAGAGGGTTTACTGTACACTGACTCCTCGGTGCCCAACAGCAAGCCGTGCACGAAGCAGCTCAGCAGGCAGCAGCACAGAGACTAATCAAACACCAGAAACAAGACAGTACGAGCAGCAGTTGTAGCAGCATCACCAGTTCTAGAGCGGCCAAGGGTCCTGCACCAGCGAGACCACACCAGCCTCACTACACCAACAGCGACTATGAGACTGTCGGGAGAGATGACGCCACTAATGTGAGTCACCTGAAGGTATTTTTTTTGGTAGGACTTTTGTGTCTGTTGTACTGTATGTATGTATGTATGTATGTATGTATTATTGAATGTATGTATAAGAAGGTTTAGTATTTGAGTCCTGAGAGTTAGGTAGGGTTAATCCTCTGTTAACTAGATTGTATAGAGTAGCATTAACATATTTGATTAAAAAATGCTGTAGATAATGCTGTAACCACATAGTATTGCCTGTAGTATAAAGCTGGAGCTACATTAATAAACTAGCAGTGCTATTAGTATGACCCCCTATTATACCATCGCAGTAATGTAACTCTCTGCAACCTTCACGCTTCTCTGCTTTTTATTCACGATTTGATCTTCCTCGTTTATTTTGCCATTTTCCTGTTTTCATTTTGTCCTTTCTAATTTCCTTTTCTTTAATTTCTCACTCATATTTCACTCGCTTATTCACACATTGTATTATAAAGACTAAAATTTACCTCGAGGAACCTCCTAACACACTGACCTAACCTGCACTAACGATACGAACACCAAACAGTACGGCGTTGCTTTGCGGTCACCCTCGCCTGTTCTCTACGATGCTCCTCTTCCCCCCGAGGCACGACCCAAGTCACCCCAAGACATTCACACACCTGATGGATACATTATCCCAGCACAGCCTCCCTTGTCCACCATGGTGAGACTAGTACCTAACTGCATGACGTTCTTAATCGGATTTTTGTTATGCTAAATGTCACTTTACTGAGATTTTATATATTAGTACATTTGCTTCTGTACATTACTTATATCCTTAGTGATATGGAAGCCCATTGTAAGTAAAAATAAATTAAGAGGAAAGGTAAAAACTGACGGAACAGTTTAGTAGTTGAATATTCTTGTAGATAGTCAGTATTACTCAGCCTGATGTTCAACCCTCTTCACCACAGGACGTAATTTTTAACATTCCATTTGGTTAATACTGTATGAGACAATATTCTTCATTCCATAGAGAGACCCCCCTGTACAGCAAGAGTTAACTTGAGGCTGAGAAAGTTCCTTGAGATGAGATAATTAACTTGTACAGTGTATATGAGTGAGTCTTCAGTGCACATAATTCTTAGGCTAGAACTGTGAGGTTTTCTACCCTGGTGATGGTACAGGTGTGAAACTGTGTAAAGTGTCATTAATAATCCCAGGTAATGACGTAGAAGGTGAGGGTTGTGTGAGGTGCAGTACAGGTAAAGAGAGAGACAAGATGTGAGAATACAGCCGATGGTGATAGTGTGGTGGTGAGTGTTGGTGATGAGTGGTTGTGGTGATGGTGTAGTGTAAGTGGTGATGGTGTAGTGTAAGTGGTGATGGTGGTGGTGAGTGGTGATGATGGTGATGATGGTGAGTGGTGGTGCTGAAGTGTGAGCACAATATTACACAAGAGCTTGAGTGGGGGACTTGTACAATAGACGGTCGCCTTCCTCAGTAGTACCTCCATACAAGTCTAATGATCATGATACAGTATACAGTATATTCTCAACTACTAAACATTACTTTATTACTCAACACTGCCAGGTGACCCAGATCAGTGTAGGATCCTCCACGTGTACAGTGTTGTCTTCCTCGAGTTACACTGAAGAGGTTTACCAGACACCGCGGGGAGTCTATCAGGTGAGCTGCTCTTGATGTGTGTGTCAGAGGCTCTTATTAGCTTCTCTATACTCAGTTGTTTTCGTGAGTCTAAGGCCTTCATCACAAGAAAAAAAGACTTGCAAGAGTTAAAAGATATATATTTTGTTGCCATATTTGCTATTTCTTACACTCACAGCGGATTGAATAACAACGTACAGAATCTCATTATATTTTAGTTGCTGGTCACCTCCCCAGCTTTAAGCATAAGGCATCTTGTGATGTTACAGACTAGTGTGGGAACTCAGTCTGACTAACACAGGCAACATGACATTTAGACACTGAGTAACATGGAGGTAGTACTGTGTCAGGAGGATTTAGAATTACTCAGCAGAAACAAAATAATTCCATGATGGTTTAATTGACTAATGCCATTCACAAATCAGTTTCTTCTCTTATAAGTAGAGGTGTTGGAGATAATGAAAGAGAGATTCAGATAAATATTCACTAAGAGTTTACTTCTTCTGTGTAGTAAAGGTTATACATCATGAAGCATATTGTTCTTGTTGTTATGATGGTATTACTGTTATTAACCAATTATCCAACAATAATTAAACTATGAGACGTAAAGTAAAATTTTGAGACGTCACTGATTACTTTATTGACCACCACCCTCCTCCTCCTCCTCCTCCTCCTCCTCACACACGTAAGTTTGTATTACAGACTGAAGACACAACCTCTGCCCCGTCTTCACGCCAGGAGAAGACAGGTCGTCTGAGCGTTCGTCGTGCCTCAGCAATGACGCACAGAAGTCTGGAAGATCAATACGGTGCCGTAATCTCCGCCAATCTCGAAGCTCTCTCCAACCTGTTAGATCAAGTAAGGTTTAATACTGTTAACATAATGACCAGCAAGCCTCTTACTCTTTGAAATAAATGACTTGATATTAGTACATTTTACAAGAATAATAATAATGATAATACAACTGTAATAATATAGTAGCCTGTTAGTATTGTACTGTTTGACATTATCTCCACACTTAAGCTGTCCACGAACTGTTGTCCTGTGGGGTACGAGGAAGTCAGTTCAGGAGTCTATCGGTGGGAAGACATTACCATAGACGACGACATAATAGTAGGCGCCGGCCACCGCTTGTTTTACGTTGGAGTAGCTCGGGGCCGGGACGTGGTTCTCATGCTCACCCCAGAAACCAAAGTGGATGCTCATCACCTCTTAACTCCTATACCTCTCGCTACCTTCAAAGACAACCTCCCCAGCCACCTGCTCTCTCATAAATACATTACGCGAGGAAAGTCAACGCCTGGTAAGTACAGGGACGTCTAATTTTAGTATTTTATTTGGCAAACTCAAGATAATTTATTCACTTAAGAGGTGACACTCTACACATGGAGTTATTGTGGTTTTGTCTGTGTTTTATTAAGTATGCATGGCAGTAGGTTTTTTCAGGCAAGTAAAACTGTATTTTTTGCAGGGATTGTGTGGGTTTTACCGTCCATAAGTTTAACAACAATGAGAACGTTGGCAGAAGAAGAGTGTTTGCGGTTATCAGCTGTTCCGGCAGAGTGGGAGCGTAACACCTGCCTCCTCCTCCTCCAGCTGGTGACGGGCCTCAAGCAGCTGCAGGCGCAGGGTGTAGAAGAAACCTGTATTGATCTGACTCTTGTAGTTAGAGGGAGTCGAGCAAAGGGACAAGATTGTGATCCCAGGTTAATACTTGTGCCTCCCACAGAGACAGGTGGGTGACCAAGGTCCAGTGTGAACCAGCACTGGAAGCTGTAGGATCAGTCTTTCTCTGGCAAACCCTTTGCATATGTGGTTTAAACTTCCCTCTGTACATGGGATTAGGGAATTACCAATTGAGACTTGATAGTATGATTGACAGTATCATAACTAGAGAAAAACTAGCCATTATCCTCCTTATGTTTATGTTAATAACTACCAAACTTCGTTCTTAAACACAACGTACTTCATCCCAGCTTGTTCTCCCAGGTACTGCTCTCATGTCTCTGTGTCAGTGTGCTGCAGCAGTGACCTTACTGCTCATGGGGGTGGACGACCCACTAGAGTGTGCAAGAGAAGGCAACTTCACCATCCCTGATCCAGTTCCCTCCCAACACGCCTTCAACATTCTCCTACAGATACTTGGTCAGGAGAGAGCAGGATCACTCACACAGGTTAGACCATCACAGTCATTTTGTCAACCCACAAACAAATATGAAGGTACAGTACAATTCCTTATCTTATTTTAAAAGATTCTCAGAAGTAAAAACTGTATATATCCAGTTATACATACTACTCATGTTATCCCTTTATAACTGGAGTACTGTAGTAGACTGGTTGGCTTCAGTCGCTATGAGTAAATCATGAATTCAATAATATATTAATACATTTCTAAATACAGTCAACATAATAAAGTGCTGTATTGTACTGTATACTGTCCGTGATAAATTTTCTAGCATAGTTTTATATGTTTTACTCTGATCTGCTGTTGTATTGTAGAAGGTCTTTAAAACTGATTCTTCCACACTGTTACTGTGGTGAATATTGTGTAATTTTGAGTTTATATTTTTCACTTCACAGCGTACATGTATCAGCTTGGTGTGGCTGTATTAATTTATATATGGGAATTTTCATGTAATTTTTTCCTGCACTTGAATGTTCATGATTTTACAGGTTAAATGTGTATTAGAAGTCCTCCTGTTTGGCCCTGACAGCTCTGGATGTGATGCCAAAGAGGGTGAAGAAGTTGAGGAAGTTTTACAGAGATGGCTCGACCTGGAGAGAGCGACAGTCCTTCACTCACTCATCCGGGGACCTTTAGAGTCCTCGGTGCTCACTAAGTTCCATCTCCTTTTCCTTGTTAGAACAAATTCAAGAGTCCTTCGGGAAACTTTAAAACTCTTAGGAGATCCAGAGGTTACCACTTTTTGATTATATTATAACAATTGGTACCTCGGTTGAGGAGGGGAACTATCCAAATTCATCATTCATGATGCTCCTAATACTAGAGAACAGCTGCCCATGTTTACACACTGTTTCTAGTACTGGAGAAAGGCTACCTCAAATATAGCTTCTCTGCTGTAAGCTGTGTGGGGGAGGGGGGTAGAGGAATACTGTACACACTATGTTGTCTTGTGAGATACAAAAACTTACCTATGGATGTATGAGCATGTTGGGACACTATGTTTACATGTCTGTGTATAATTTATTCAGTACTGTACTACAAGATTGCTATTCAGGCAACAGGAACTGAAGGTTGAGTTTATGCCTCCATTAGTCCAGTGTCTGCAGTACAGTAATACCCAACACTGTTTGCCGACGTATTTGTCCTTTTATTACAGTATGACAATTTAGAATAATATTTTGACAAGTATGAAGAAAGTCTGGTACAATAACAGTACTAACGTGCTCTGTAAATACTGGGCGACTATTGACTGGTATGCATAACTCTTCACCAAATGGCTTTACTGTATGTATATTTTGAACAATAAGATACCATAGACTTACTGTGAGCTTTGCAACCATGTGATAACTTATATTAGTTGATGCAAGTGACATCTGAGAAGTGGTTTGTGATTTTCTCTGAATGGGGGATGGCTTGTGCCACGTCTCAGGTGGTGTGTGTCACATCTCAGGTGGCGTGTGTCACATCTCAGGTGGTGTATGTCATATCTCAGGTGGTGTATGTCACATCTCAGGTGGCGTGTGCCACATCTCCGTATCCTGCATGTAATTTGACAATCAATTTACAAAGATCAATATAAATAAATTTGAACAAACTTTTAACAGATGTACTTGCAAAATGCTCTTATGGTTCTTGGGAGTGTAAGTCCATGAATGATAATCAAACAAAGTCTGTCTTCCTTACTCAAGTGTCATGCTAAAATCAAAACTGTTACTTCTTTATGTTGTCTTGTTATCTACTGTCCACTCTGTCAACCACCTCATCATAAGGAACCTCACTGAAGCCTTGTTACACTGTTCAGAAACAATTATGTACTTAATGTAAGTTTTTCTCGCTGGAAGATTTTTCCCCACAACAGATGTCTCCATAATCTGCCCGAGAATTTGTTTGACATTTTTAGTATTTTACCTTCGGGAGGGGGAGAGGCAAGGGAATGACAAGAAGTCTGATTCATATTGCCTCACTATTACTGTAGAGAAAGGCTGTGTTAGTCAATGTACCACCTTCCCTTGTGTGTGTGTGTGTCATGATGGGCGGTGTGTTGGACGATTATTGGATATACTGTACATTATAAAGTGGTAAATATTATCTTGTCAGGGAAATTCTAGGCAATATTAAGGTGTGTATTCTTAGTAGTGTTCTATATAATAATGAACATCTCCGGTGAAAGAACAAGTAGTACAGTACAGTATTGCCAAGTACTGTACACTGTAATTAAGTGTATGAAAGTGCATAGTTCATGGGTAAACAGATCACTACTAGAAACACACACCTTATGTTGGTAACTCTTAACAGTTTATATATACAGTAGTAACCATTCCTCGTACTGCCGCCAAGTGACCTGTACCGGGTAACTGTAAATTAATCAAACCTCTGTAACTTGAGATAAACCTTTTTTTTCATACAGTATCCAACAGTAAGCCTTGTAACATTAGTCAGTAGAAGAGTTGGTAGGTGCTCCAAAATTCTGTCCCTCACTATTGAAACTGCGGGACTCCTGTAAATTAATCATCTCTAAGGTTTAATGGACAAATGTCATTTAATATTTTGAAACTTTCTAAGTAAACAAAAATATATGTAGAAAGATATTATTTGAAGTCAGTGTCGTCCTTAGATTAGTTTTAGAACAACAACTTTGTGATGAAAAACTCTCATATTTAATATTTGAACAAGTTAGAACCAGCTGCTGTACAGTACTGGGCTTCATTGTTTGACAGGTTCAACTTTTCTCTTCCTTACAATATCTTTATTTGTCAAGCTTTGTGTATATATTGTAGATGGTGTGTATCTGTATGTATATTGTAAATATCATTCATACTCTTCCTGGTCATGTATAAGTGATCCATGAAGTATACTGGTCAACTGTATTACCATTATGGTGCATTTTATTTACTTTTTAAAACTACAGCAAGAATAACTTATGAAAATTCTAACAACATTATGTTAATGGAATAAACTGGTTATTGGAACAACACTTTTGTTCAGCCTTTTACTATTACTGTCTATAGTATGTCCCAGTGGCTTGGTATGCTGTGAATATAACACACAGAAGGAGGCAGCATACACAAATCTCCGCTGCTCGTGCTCACCTAGCGCTATATCATGTCACGTCCAGAAAATGCCTCAAATTTCTACATATCATAGTAACTTCTTTCTGTTTAATATACTGGAGGGGGGGGATAGAACACCCCTCCACCCCCCCTTCCCCCACTCCCAACCCCCACCTCCCCAAATAAGGAGATTAGGTAAGACTGATGTTTTTGGCCAAAAATTTGATTTTGCTGAAAATCTCAGTACATGCACTCCTGAGCATGCTGATTGCAAACTATGACCCTCGTTTCGATTGAGGGATAATTAGTGGCCCTAATGAGGTTTGGAATATTTTTAGGACTTTTTCAATGCTAATTACTAGCCAACTATGGATTTCCCAGGTGAGATTTTGGTGTTTTTGTGTTCTGGAAGTAATTAATTGGTTAATCCCCTCAAATTCCAATTCCGAGAGAAGCGCCCTTCCAAGGGAAAACCGCATCCACAGCAGCGTTGCTTCACAGCAGTCAGTCAGCACAACACCCCAACTTATGTTTTCCTGTTGGATATTTCTTCTCCTTTATATTGTTCATGGTGCTATGATACTGGAAATGCGATGGGCAGTGTATTTATTTAGCGTCATATATCCCTCCCATTGTTCTAAATAGTGCAAAAACAACTGCCCCCAGGACCCCTACCAGCAGTGCCCCCTCCCAGGAGTCCCATAGCTTGCTTGGTAGTATTGTCATATATACAGTATATTATATATCCAGCAATTCCTTACTTAATGGTGATTGGTGGACTAAAATGTTAATCCACCGAATAACAGCCAATAGGAGAACAGAGCAGTCAGTCAGCACAACACCCCAACTTATGTTTTCCTGTTGGATATTTCTTCTCCATTACATTGCTCATGGTGCTATGATACTGGAAATGCGATGGGCAGTGTATTTATTTAGCGTCATATCTCCCTCCCATTGTTCTAAATAGTGCAAAAACAACTGCCCCCAGGGGCCCTACAGAGACAGTACTGCCTCGGTCCATGAAATTTGCCCTATCAGGTGCAGCGTCCCTACAGGCCCTACCAGAGGTGTTGGGGTCCCCAGGGGATCTCCCTTGGGTGTCGGGGCCCTAAGGGACGACGGATCTTTCAGGGGCTTTCCCGGGGGAAGCGTCATCCTAGGGACCTTCCAAGGGACAATGGCATCCTCAGCAGCCTTGCCAGGAGTGATGGGGCCCCCAGGGACCTCTTACGGAGTTGGTGCCCTCAGCAGCACTAGCAGGGGTGGTGGCGCCAGCAGGTTCCCTCCAGGGTCGCGTCCCTATGGGTCATCTCACAAGGCAGTGGAGTCCCAGGGACCCTGCAAGGGACGCTGGTGCTCAGGGCCTGCCAGGATCAGTGGTCTACAAGGGACTCTGCATGGGGCAGTGGTGCCCCAGTGACCCTCTAGGAATTAACCCCAGGGGCCCAACAAAGTGCCTCCCACAGGTCCCATAGCTTGGTAGTATTGTCATATATACAGTATAGTATATATCCAGCAATTCCTTACTTAATGGTGATTGGTGGACTAAAATGTTAATCCACCGAATAACAGCCAATAGGAGAACAGAGCAGTCAGTCAGCACAACACCCCAACTTATGTTTTCCTGTTGGATATTTCGTCTCCTTTACATTGCTCATGGTGCTATGATACTGGAAATGCGATGGGCAGTGTGTTTTTTAACGTCATATCTCCTCCCAGTGTTCTAAATAGTGCAAAAACAACTGCCTCCAGGGTCCTACAGAGACAGTACTGCCTCGGTCCGAAATTTGCCCTATCAAGTGCAGCGTCCTACAGGCCCTGCCAGATTTAGGGGTCCCAAGGGGTTCTCCCATGGGTGTCGGGGCCCTAAGGGATGACGGATCTTTCAGGGGGCTTTCAGGGAAGTGGCATCCTAGGGACCTTCCAATGGACAATGGCATCCTCAGCAGCCTTACCAGGAGCGATGACGCCCGGGGGACCTCTTACGGGAGTTGGCGCCCTCATCAGCACCAGCAGAGGGGTGGTGGCCCCTGGGATTCCCTCCCAGGGTCAGCGGCGCCCTATGGGCCCTCTCAAAGGCAGTGGAGTCCCCAGGGACCCTGCAAGGGACGCTGGTGCTAACAGGGCCCTGCCAGTGATAGTAGTGCCACCAGGGACTCTGCCTGGGGCAGTGGTGGCCTCCGTGACCCTCTAGGGGCAGTTGCGCCCCAGGGCCCTACCGACCCCCTCAGGTCCATAGCTTGCTTTAGTATTGTTCCATACATATAGTATATCCCACAATTCCTTACCTAAGAACTTCATATTTTTGAGTACATTTTGCATTCATCCAGTAATCCCTTAGCAAACCCTGAGGAGAGCCCCTGGGGCATCGCTGCCTATAAGGAGAGCCTGTGGGCGACGCCACCCCGCGCCCCGGGGCGACGTTACCCCTGGCCGGGCGCCTGGGGGCGCTACCACACACCTGAGAGGTCCCTTGGGGCACCGGTGCCTCTGGGAGGGACACTGTGGGCGCCACCGCACCTGAGAAGGCCCTGCGCCACCGCCCCAGGTAGGGCCCCTGGGAGCGCTGCCACCCTTGCCAGGGACCCTGAGGGCACCGACACCCCTGTCAGAGCCCCAAGAGCGACGCACCTGGTAGGGCACATGGGAGGACCCAGGGGCACTATCACTGGATTGACCGTGGGGGCAGTTGTTTTTGCACATTTAGAACAATGGGAGATATGAATAAATACTCCGCCCATCGCATTTCTCGAGTATCACACCATGAACAATGTAAAGAGAATAAATATCCAACAGGAAAACATAAGTTGGGGTGTTGTGCTGACTGACTGCTCTGTTCTCCTATTGGCTGATATTTGCATTTACATTTTAGTCCACCAATCACAGTTAAGTAAGGATTGCTGGACGATGCAATATGCTAGACACTACCACCAAAAGCTATAGGTCTCCAGTTAGGAACGCCTGTGTAGGCACCTGGGAAGGCCCATGAGGGTAGCGCCGCCCCTTGGGGCGCCACCACCTCTGGAAGGTCCCCTGGGGCACTGCTGACCCTGAAGGAGCCCCTAGGCATCGCTGCCCATAAGAAGAGCCCCCTGGGGGAGGCTACCCTTGGCGTGCCCATGGGCGCCACCACACCTGAGAGCTCCCTGGGCACCAGTGCCCTGAGGAGAGCCCCTGGGGGCATTGCTGCAGCAAAGAAGAGCCCTGGGGCGACGTTACCTCTTGGCGGTCCCCTGGGGTGACGTTACCCCTTGGCGGTCCCATGGGGCAACGACCCTTGCGGGCACCTGTGGAAACGTTACCCCTGGAGGGCCCCTGGGGCGCCACCACACCTGGAGAGGTCCCCTGGGGGCACCGGTGCCCGAGGGAACCTGTGGTCGCCACCACACCGAAGGCCCCTGGTGCGCTCACCGCCCTGGCAGGGCTCCTGGATTGCCGCCACCCTTGTAAGGGCCCCTGGGGTCGCTGACACCCCTGGGAGAGCCCCAAGATCGATGCACCTGGTAGGGCAAATGGGAGTGCCCCAGGCGCACTATCACTGGATTGACCGTGGGGCAGTTGTTTTTGCACATTTAGAACAATGGGAGATATGAATAAATACTCCGCCCATCGCATTTCCAGTATCATCACACCATGAACAATGTAAAGGAGAATAAATATCCAACAGGAAAACATAAGTTGGGGTGTTGTGCTGACTGACTACTCTGTTCTCCTATTGGCTGATATTTGCATTTACATTTTAGTCCACCAATCACAGTTAAGTAAGGATTGCTGGACGATGCAATAATGCATCTAAACTACCACCCAAAGCTATATGTCTCCAGGTAGTGGAGGCCTCTGGTAGGGCCCTGGGAAGGCCCCCAGGGTACCGTCGCCCCTTGGGGCGCCACTGCTTGGATGGTCCCCTGGGGCACGGCTGACCCTGAGGAGAGCCCCTGGGGCACGCGCCCATAAGGAGAGCCCCTGTGGACGACGTTACCTCTTGGCGGCCCCTGGGGCGACGTTACCTTGGCCGGCGCCTGGGGGCGCTACCACACCTGAGGGTCCCTTGGGGAACCGGTGCCTCTGGGAGGGACATTGTGGGCGCCACTGAACCTGAGAAGGCCCCTGGGTGCGTCACTGCCCCAGGTAGGGCCCCTGGGAGCCTGCCACCCTTGCCAGGGACCCTGAGGGCACCCCTGTCAGAGTCCCTAAGAGCGACGCACCTGGTAGGGCACATGGAGGACCCAGGGGCACTATCACAACCGTGGGGCAGTTGTTTTTGCACATTTAGAACAATGGGAGATATGAATAAATACTCCGCCCATCGCATTTCCAGTATCATCACACCATGAACAATGTAAAGAGAATAAATATCCAACAGGAAAACATAAGTTGGGGTGTTGTGCTGACTGACTGCTCTGTTCTCCTATTGGCTGATATTTGCATTATTTTAGTCCACCAATCACAGTTAAGTAAGGGATTGCTGGACGATGCAATATGTACACTACCACCAAAGCTGTAGGTTTCCAGGCAGGAACGCCTGGTAGGCCTCTGAAGGCCCCTGAAGGTACCTTCGCCCCTTGGGCGCCACTGCCCCTGAAGGTCCCCGGGGCACTGCTGACCCTGAGAGCCCCTGGGGTCCTCGCTGCTCCTAAGAAGAGCCCCTATGGGCGACGTTACCCCTGGCGGTCCCCTGGGTCACTGCCACCCCTTGTCGGCCCCTGGAGGCGGCGCACCCTTGGCAGGCCCTGGGGCACCATACCTGAGAGAACCCCTAGGGGCACCACTGACCCTGAGAAGAGCCCCTGGGGCCAATACTGCCCCAAAGAAGAGCCACTGGGGGCGACGTTACCCCTTGGCGGTCCCCTGGGGGCGACATTAGCCCTGGCGGGCCCCTGTGGGCGCCACCACACCTGAGAGGTCCCCTGGGGGCACCG